GGATATTGATATATATATATAGATATAGATATAGATATATAGATATGCATATCGGCATATACATATATATATATATATATAGAGAGAGAGAGAGAGATAGATGGATATAGATATACATGTAGATATAGATAGAAATGGTAGAAATGCACAGAAAATGCATGCATGCATGCATGCATAGAGACAAGAAGCACCCACCAAAAGCATGCATGCATGTATGCATGCATACATACATACATAAAAACAAGAATATCCCCTCTAAAGATGCATGCATAAGGACAAACAGCCCCCCTTAAGCATGCACGCATGCATGCATTGGTGGTGTTGTTTATTTACAGGTTTGGTTTGGGTTATTAAGAAGGGTAAGGTTAACTGAAGGAAGAGTACAGCGCTCAGTGTCTCCTTTGTTTGATTTTTTTGCTGTTTTATATTTGTCTGCAAGAGTTTTTAAATCTCTAATAAGAGCAACCACTGAAGCACAATAAGCCGCGTAATCCTTGCACAACTTTAATAGATACGTTACGACGAAGCCCAAGTCCCTGCTGGTGCTGCTGCTGCTGCTCCTTTTGCGGCTCCTGCTGCTCGAGGCAGCAATCCGCATGCATCTGCTTCCAGAGAGAACTGTACTTGTAAGATGTCCTACGGTTTGAGCCATTACTTCTAACTCTTGTTGTGAAGCAATGCATGCATTAGCTACGATATCTCGCATACTGCATATTTTCTCAGCAATATCAACAAGAGTTGAAGAGACATCTTCTCCTCTAAGTGACTCTTCAACACTTGATAATCCTGCATCTCCTGCTTGTGCTGCTACCCTGTCTCTCATAAGAAGAAGCCCGCGAGACATCTCCACTGAGCAGCTCTGCTGATGCAGCGCTCTACCCAAAGGAGACATTACTGAGTGTCTCCGCATGCGTTCAAACCCCAACAACACAGGCGTTGTCATAGGAAAGAGGCCTTCTGTAAGTCTTGCATCTCTTACAAGAGCTACAGAACCACGAGGATGTGGAGGAAAATCAGCGGGGTGCAGCCCCCTTTCACCTCTACCCACCTGTACATACAGCTCAGCAAAACAAAACAAATTAAACAAATATACACAATGCATGCATGCATGCATGCATTGTGTATGCATGAAAGGCGTCGTAAACACACACATTCAGCTTATGCATCAGCGAGACACCGAACGTGCTGCTGTTGCTGCTGCTGGCAGCAGCAGCAGCATCCGCAGCAGCAGCAATAGCAGCAACACCACCACCACCACAACAACAGCAGCATGCGCAACAACACCACCACCACAGCAACAGCAGCAACAGCAGCATGCGCAGCAGCAGCAGCAGCAGCAGCAGAATGTGCATACGAGGACGGCGAAGTCCATAAGATCTGCATCATCTACCATCCCGAGCACTCTAGAGAGCAGCACCGCCCCTAAGGGTGTTGCATAGGGAAGGATAGGCGTCCCCAGGTCTTCAGGCTGAAGTATTATATTATCAGGTCTCTGTACAAATTTAACTTCAATAGAAGAAGCACTCTCTTTACTTCTTTCCACCCCTAAACATTTTATAAAAATCGGAGGAGGAGGTAATAAAGGGGCTTGCAACAGATCTGCAAGTTCTTCTTGCATCCATCGATGTCTATAAGCTGTAAGTATTCTCTTTACAAGCACCTCTATCTTCTCTGCTACCTCCCAAATACTAAGCGGGTTTAATGCTTCACAAGGCAGCTGCATATCTTCAGCCCCCGCAGCAGCAGCAGCAGGAGCAGCAGCAGCAGGAGCAGCAGCAGCAGCAGAAGAAGAAGAAGAACTGCGAGACCTTAGCAGCTTCGCCCAGATGCGCTTGCCGACGGAGACAGTAAACTGAACAGACACCCCAGTTATCATAGGAGCAGTGCCTCCTGCACTGCTTGGGGAATGCACCCTGCAGCAACAAACAACAATCCTAAACCCTAAACCCTAAACCCTAAACCCTAAACGCAAAAACCCTAAACCTTAAACGCAAAAACCCTCAACCCTAAATGCTAGAAAAAGAAGTACTGCATAATATAATATTACAGCCATACAAATTAAGAATATATATCTAGGCCCTTCTCTGCTGTCTCCTGTCTCCTTTTTATTTGTTTATTTGTTTATTTATTTATTTATTTATTCATTCATTCATTAGCAAAGCAGAGCAAAACAAAACATTTGTGCAGTAAGAAGATGCGAGAGAGACAGCAGCAAATACACACACACAGCAAAAAAAGACAGACAAAAGGAGACAGATATAGACAAAAGGAGACAGATAGAGACAAAAGGAGACAGATAGAGACAAAAGGAGACAGAAAGAGACAAAAGGAGACAGATAGAGACAAAAGGAGCCAGATAGAGACAACAGGAGACAGAACGAGACAAAAGGAGACAGATAAAGACAAAAGGAGACAGATAGAGACACAAGGAGACAGATAGAGACAAAAGGAGACAGATAGAGACAAAAGGAGGCAGATAGAGACAAAAGGAGACAGATAGAGACAACAGGAGACAGATAGAGACAAAAGGAGACAGAAAGAGACAACAGGAGACAGAACGAGACAAAAGGAGACAGAACGAGACAAAAGGAGACAGAACGAGACAACAGGAGACAGATAGAGACACAAGGAGACAGAAAGAGACAACAGGAGACAGAACGAGACAAAAGGAGACAGAACGAGACAAGAGGAGACAGAAAGAGACAACAGGAGACAGATACAGACACAAGGAGACAGATAGAGACAACAGGAGACAGAGAGAGACAACAGGAGACAGATAGAGACAAAAGGAGACAGATAGAGACAACAGGAGACAGAAAGAGACAAAAGGAGAGATAGAGACAAAAAGAGACAGCACGAGACAAAAGGAGACAGATAGAGACAACAGGAGACAGAAAGAGACAAAAGGAGACAGGTAGAGACGACAGGAGACAGATAGACATAAAAGGAGACAGATAGAGAC